TGCTGCTTCTCAGAAATAAAGACGTTTTTTGCTTTTCACCTATAAGACTGCCCTGAGGGACAATACTACAATATGCTAAGTCAATCTAACTGTAGCCTGGATCAACAAAGGCAGTTCACTTCCCTCTATTATTCCCCTTCCTCTTTCCCCTCTCACATCACAGTTGTTAAGTTCAGCCAATCAATCCTTCAAAAGAGTGATTATTTTTCTGTCACTTTGGCTTCCTGAACCAGCCCTCCACGAGTCAACAAGTGCTGCACAAGGAAGCAGTTGGAGCATACAGGAAAAAGTCAGACTGCTGGTTTTGGCAACAGCTTGTAGCTAGATTAGCTCCATAGTTTTGTGACACTGCATCTTTAGATATTCACCTACAATCACTAAATTGACAGCTTCTTGATCTTTTTCTTAGTTTTACTGCTTGGTTTTGGCTGCGTTAATTCACATCTGAATGGACAGAGCTGCCCAAATAATCCAAGTAAATTAATATCATCACCCTACATCACCATTATTTATTATTATGACAGCAGCATTTTGCATAACATGTTACATTTACTTCTTTATTCATTAACAATAATGGCAACACAGTATTAGGTCCAATACAGACTACCATAAAACCCCTCAAAAACATCAGTTTGTTGAGGATTCCCATTCACTGGTGATTTGAAAACCTTTCAGCCTTTCAACCCTCCTTTTAAACCCTGAACAGCACTCCCCTTCTATCACAGTCACAAGCAATATTATATCAAGCCAGTCACAAAAATTCATCCATTGAGCCAGACTGCATACAAAGTACAGAGCAAGAGGGGATATTTGGAAAGTGAGCAAGAAGGGATATTTGAAAAGTAGGCAAGAAGTGTAAGTCCTCAAAGATCAATGGAGTATCCTGAACTCAACTATTTGAAGTGCAGGACCGTTAAATATCCACAAACCAGAGAAACAAAGTAGTCCCCAAATGTGGAAGAGCTAAAATGTGGCAAAATTGACCTGTGAGTTTGCTTGGACTGTTCTGGACCTAACACACTGATTCTCTTTTCCAGTTGCTGGGGCTCTACATGGGCTTCCACTTCTCATGGAGCTAGCACAGCAAAGTACAAGGCACTCTTCTGTTTGGAAGAGAAATAAAACTAATGTGCTTGTCCTAATTTTTAATGCTTTGGCTGAGAAAACACAATATATCACTTGACTGTCTCTATCAATCTCAAAAAAAGGGGGAAAAGCTTGACAACTAATTTCCTATAAACCCATGTTGTCCAACATTTATAGCATATTTCTGTCCTTTCACGGTTAACCAGCTTTTTCACCATTTGCCTGTGACTGATCTTGTGCTAAGCAACAGTTAAACAGCTCACTGTTTAAGTCCAAACTATTTTCTCACAGAAATTTCCCAAATACTTCCAGTTTTTACTGAGAAAAGGCATTAGAGCTTGAGATCATCTAAGGATTTCTTTAGTGAAATTTAATACTGATCATTTGCACAGCAGACCCAATTCATTTAGTATGTTCATCTATGACAGATGGTATTTAAATCTCGCTTAGACTCTAGACCAAAGAGCATCACCATGACTGCCCTCAAAAAAGCATATTTAAACACAACCTTTTAGGAAAGACAACAACATCAACAGCATCATTTCCATTCTCTCCAAGAGGCCAATACCACTATTAAGCCCTCTTATTTCCTGGAAGAACCTCAATTTCTTACACTTCATTTGCAGTTTTTCCATCTATTTTAAGTTATTTTTAATCCAAACAGTCATTTTGACACTGAACTCAGCTTGAGCTCTGCTGACTCATTCCAGAACCATGACTTTTTAGCTGTCAAACGCTCATAAAACATGACCCGATTTTAATTTAAACTTATTGTTTTCAGCCAACACTCACATTACAGCTCTTTTGAAACATCAAGCTATATATACCTGGCTTGCAACATCCTCTGTTTGACCACAATACATATCAAGACAAATACTGGTCCCTCCTGGCAATTACCAATTTCCTTTTTTTACAGTTAGTTCCATTTGGGCTGTATAATGCAGTTATCTCAGAAAGGATGCAAGATTGTTGCTTTAAACAAAACAGAATCTATAGGTCAGATATTAACTTAGTATCTACACATGATACTTCCAGCATGCCTCCCAAGTTGAATGCTAACAAACATGTTTTTTCTTTCCAGGTTACACAATAACCAACACACCCACTCTGCTCACGGTTCTACATTACCAGTTACAGAACAAGGGAACAGTCTCTTTCTTAACAAAAGTTACACTCAGTGATCTTAGCATTGTACCATTTAATTTACTCCAACAAAGCTCAGTAACAATCTTCAAAAAGACTTTTCAACTATGCTTTCCTGCTACTTTGACACCAAGCACTGATTTTAAGTGCATAATATATGGATGGATGCAAAGCAATAGAATAAAGTTTTTCACATTCTTTGTAGAGATATAACAACACCCAGGCTACAGCAGGAGAAAGGACAAACAAGCACACCCAGCACTAAGCAGTATTTTCTGAAGTTTTACCTACTCTAAAGGGACAAGATCATCACAGGTTTTCTTCAGGTACAAGCCTCACAAACATTAAGTTACTCAGTTACTCCTCCTCAGTCTACCCTTATATCCACAACAGCCTACTGCAAGGGTAAAAAGTATTCCTGTATGATTTGCATCACCTGCTAAGCTCCTAGAAATCTTTTTGCTCAAAATAGAAAGCTCCACAAATAACAATTTTCTTCATACTTTTTAACCGGTTCCAAATTAGTTCTTCTCAATTACAAAGAACTAATTCCTCAGATTCTCTCTCATGCAGACAGTGCTCTCTTTCCAGAAAAGGAAGCCTTACCTGTTGGGTTTTCCTAAATTCTTCAAGTAGTTTTAAGGCCATATCATAATCTTTTAGCAAGTGGTATGCAATGGCATACCCAATCCAGGAAGCACGTTGTGTGGGGCGCAGCTGAAGTAGCTGATATCTTGTCTCCTTCAGTTAAAAAGAAAAAAGGCAACTTAAAAGTAACCGATGTTAAGAGTTATTAACCTTAATCATGATTTGCCACCAGTAATCTGAACCAGTATTGCTCAGATTTAAAAAATAATACTTTAAAAGACCTAGGTAATTTTTTAAAATTTAACAGCATGAGGAAAATCAGCATGTTTCCACCTCATAGATTTGGGGGCTACACTCTAAATATAAAAGTCATGGCACAACACATCAGTTATTTGTTGGGACATAAAAGGTGTAATTTTCAAGACTACCTCTTAAAGGCCTTAAATTATTTCCAAAGGTAAGCTCTGAAATCTCAGAAAGGGGGTTTCATTAGAAAGCATGAGCTCACCATCACTGAAGGTGCAAACCATCCTACTATGCTCATGGTCGGGCACAAGTTCCTCACTCTGCTGCAGTACTCAGAACCCCCTCCTGAGTCAACCATATCCCAAAGTCAGTTAGGAGTTGAAAACTAGAGTTTTACAAGGTGATCCACAAGCAAAATTGTACAGAACAACTATACTTCTGTTCTCAACATTTTACAGAGTTCTGCTGAAACACATTTGCATGCTTTCCTAAAGAGCTTAAAACACTTTTGAAACAGCAAAACCAAGTAGCAACAGAATTCCTACCAGCAGAAGTCTTAATGAAATAGAGTAACAAGAGAATGATAACAGCAATAAATGGGAATTGAAAGGGGATACTTACTCTATATCCTTCTAAATCCCTCATCTGAATCTGCAACAGAGAGAGATCTCTCAAGATCTGAAGATTATCTTTGTCTAGTTTGAGCGCGTTCCGGTAACACTTGATGGCTTCATCGTATTTCTTATCAGAACGTTGCAAAAGACCATAGACATGCCAACCTAATGCTCGCTAAGGAAGATACAGTCACAGTTTTCACAAGATCAGCACCCTTATAAATTAGGTTTGATTAAAGCAGCTTAACTTTGCTGACATATACTAAAATACTAAATGCTTAAAAAAAACCCACTAGTCTCATTTTAAAATATTCTAAGTCACATTTGTAACCCCCCAAAACAGTTACACAAACTAAACGATCCAAATTCCACAAGACCCAGAGAGATATATTGTCTAAAACATACCACTGTAATTACAGTAGAAATTCTTACTCTTAGAAGTGTCTCCCTCTAACAGTACAATTGTTGTACAAGTTTTACTTTTCCTCATTTGCCTATCTGTAACCTCAATCTCCAGATTTTAAAGCAGGGGATTAACACAGAGCTACACTTTATTTGTTGACAAGAGGAAATCTTAGCATTACTGTGCACCAAAAGTCTTTGCCACATTCTCAGAAGCTCAGATTTCCATCAGTAGTGTGCCATTTCAATAGACTTTTCTCCCACAAGCATCCTTTTTTACTGTAGAAAGATTCTGAATTCAAGGCAGGAAACCAACAGAGGTCACAGCAATGCATTACACTGTGTGTGCTTAGATCAGCCTTCAAAAGTCTTATTAGAAGAAAGATTATTTGGTATGTTCTACATTTTGCTATAAATAGCTCACTGAGGCAATGTCTTCCACATTAGTAAATGTGAACTTACTCTGAATTTCAAATCTGAAGTGACTCAGAAGTCCTCTCAAGAGGCTCTCTCACATGCCCCTGAAGCAGCAGAACATGACAAATCTTGGATAGGTATATACATCTCCTTCACCTGCTTTCAATTAAGATGGTTTAAATAACTCGGAAGTGCTAATTACCAAAGTATTTAAGAGCTCTAATGCTACTGAACTGAAACAGAAGCAACTGTCCCCTTCCAAAGATAGAGTAATTTCTACACTTTGCATCTCAAATACTTGAGGAAGCACAAATTCAGTGGGTTAATCTGGTCAAATTAAAGAAACTGTAAATTCTTTCTTAGAAGGACTCATGTCCTTAAGTGAGTTCTAGATATGAAGATATAAAGCAAGTTTGTAATTATCAAGAATAAAAGATGTAAGACTCCAGTGAAAAGACCTGTGAGAATGAATAGCCTGAAGGAAACTTCTCATACTCAAAGAAACTCAGTTTTTCATTTTAACAGGAACACCAAATCAACTTCAAACAGCTAAAGCAAAAAGAAGTCCATATGCATCTTTGAGACTGATAGGAGAGCTGCTATTGCTGTGGTGAAAAATGGGGGGGGGGGGGAGGGCAACATTTCAGATACAGTTTCAGCAGTTGGTCTAATACTGCTACTTCTTTCAATAAATCCTGCCTTGCCTATTTGAGTTCAAGTATCCAGGACTCAGATCAAAGTGAGATGTAGCATCTTCATATACCTGCCTCATAATTATTGATTTAGATTCTACCTAGAGAAAGACAATTCTGTTCAAAAGAATTTATGAGCACTTTAACAATGTACTTAAATTACTGAAAGCATCATCTTAGTCTGTCAGGCATCATTACCGCTCCTGAATTCAATTGGTAATCTGGCTTAGTATTTCTTGAATCATTCTTTGCACAGCAATCAAGTCATGAAAAGCATAAACCTATTCAGAAGTAAGTGTGTAGAGTAGTCAAGACCGAGAATAAGAAATTTTAACAGCTGACAGAAGCCTATTAATAAAGCAGTGTCTCACCAATTTGTTATGGCAGACAGCTCTGGGCAATCTTGCATGGGTTCCTGCAGCATTCTCAGTAAAACATGCCAATATGAATTTTTTCCTTGAAATAGCGTAAGTCTCTAATCAGCCCATTACAGTTCTAGCAAAAATGTATAAATTCATTTCTAGTTTGACCAGAAAACTTCTGGTTTGTTGTTTGGTTTTTTTAAAATTTTCTACACCTTCTTGAACAAGTCAGTGCACTGAAGTGACTAGCTATACTTCAAGCACACTCTACCAGCTGCTTTCTAAAAAGCACAGATGACTATTTACTAAAACCACCTTCAAATGTTACCACAGAAAACAACACAGATGTACTGCACCTACTGAAAACCAGCTCCTGGATTGAGGTGACTTTAGCGGCTATCACTCATGCTCCCTTTATACCAAATGTCAGGCACTAAGTCTGCATAAAAAAAGCAGGAACTGTAAACATTAGAGAACCTCCCAAGTTCTGCTTAGGTAGTGCTAAGGATCAACCGGCTTTCAAGCTTTCATCAGAACTTCATGTCTTGCCACAAGCCTTTCCAAAGTATGTAGAAGGAACCACTATTAACAAGTTCAGTCTCAGATCTCAGCCTCTCATGGACTAGAATATATATTCACCTGGTCTTGACTCTTCTCATGCACAGGAACCCCACCATCAGGAAAGACTCAAATACTGAGGTAGTGACTTCATCGTACCACACTTTAAGAGCCCCTGATGTGCTAACAATAACAGAAGTTTGCTATTTCTTTATAATATACCAAGAGATGACAACTCAAAGTCCTGTGAAAAATCTGATGCCTAGCCTAGAATCTATTCAGTATCAGCTTGCTTGTGCTCTTAAGGGAAGTAATTCTGCCTAGACAGATGACTCTAGGAGGTTCTCTGTGGAACTGTAACAATACACTTGAGTGCCAGAAGTTGGAATGTCTTGCTTTGTCAGAGATCATTCTATGGATGCAGCTTAAAAAAAAAAACCCAAACAAATATGAGCACTTGTGCCTAACAGGATTCATATGATTACATTTTCTCTGAATTTAGAAAACAAGAAATCCTTGCAGTTGTCTTAACGAGTCAGTAAAACTGTAATAAAAATCCACTATAACTCATAACCAGAAAAAAACACATTATTTTAAACTTCTCCAGGAAGTGGTCCCTTTGAAAACATGCATTCCTCCAAAATTAATCTGAAAAAGCACAGATGCCTCCAGAATTTTTAAGAAAATCACCTAGACAGTTTTAAGAGTCAACATGAATTGCACAGAAGAATCAGTGATGCTGAGAAAATCTTACTCTGGAAATTTGCTTAGGAGAGTCCTCCAAAACTCTCCACTAATTCACCAAAATTCTGTTGGTCTCTGATTTAAAATGAAAGACACAGATTAAGGTGTTCAGCTTTTAACATCAAGAAGGTATATTATCTTTGACTGTTCTATGGCACACCTCTAGTAACTGATAACCTTCACGCACACACAGAGGTTTTTTCCCAGCCTCAAGCTCTTTGGACCTTTAACTTAAGAATGGTCTAAACAGCAACACCTTTATCTTAACTACATGGCCATGGGAAAGTGTTTCCTGTGATACTAAAGGAAGTTGGTTTTTTTTTCATGTTAACATTTCATGAGAAATGCGCCCCTTAACACACCATAAATGCTGAAAAAAACCAAGCAAGGCATTCTGTGCAAACCTGAAGTAGCCTCCTACCTGTGGCCTGAACATAAGACAGCTATCAAAACTCTAGGGTAGCTCTAGCATAATCTTCACAGGTTTACACTTTTGGAAGAGAAGCTGAGAAAAGAGTAGTAGCCATTAAGCCAGTAGACATAGATCTAAAATTTAGTGGCAAAACAGGTATTTTCAGAGCAAGTCTAGACAGAATTTCTTATACCTTTTTAAAGGAGAGGAAAACTTTAAAAAAGGCCAGATTTTACCAGCCATAACAAACTGTGTGGTGAGGTCAACATGCTGGAGGGAAGAAATGCCATCCAGAGGGATCATGACAGGCTTGAGGAGTGGGCTTGTGCAAACTGATGAAGTTCAACATGGCCAAGTGCAAGGTTCTGCAACTGAGTAGGGGTAATCCCAAGCACAAATACAGGCTGGGTGGAGAATGGCTTGGTAACTGCCCTGACAAGTAGGACTTGGGGGTGATGGTGGATGAGATGCTCAACATGAGTCGGCGATGTGTGCTTGCAGCCCAGAAAGTCAACCTTGTCCCAGGCTGCATCAAAAGAAATGTGGCCAGCCGGTCAAGGGAGGTGATTCTACCCCTCTACTCCACTTTCATGAGACCCTACCTGGAGTACTGTATCCATTTCTGGAGTACCCAACGTAAGAAAGACATGGAGCTATTGGAGCAAGTCCAGAGGAAGGCCATGAAGATGATCTGAGGGCTGAAGTACCTCTCCTATGAAGACAGACTGAGGGAATCGGAGTTGTTCAACCTGGAGAAAAGAAGGCTCCATTGGGGAAGCCTTACAGCACCCTTCCAGTACCTGAAGGGGCCTACAGGAAGGCTGGGGAGGGACTTTTTACAAGGGCTTGTCATAAGAGGACAAGGGGTAATGGATCAAAACTGGAAGAGTGGAGATTTAGGTTAGACATCAGACATTCTTTTGTGTGAAGGTGGTGAGACACTGGAACAGGTTGCCCAGGGAGGCTGTGGAAGACTCATCCCTGGAAGTGTTCAAGTCTGGGTTGGATGGGGCTCTGAACAACCTGATCTAGGTAAGAGGTGTCCCTGCCCATGCAAGGGGGGTGGATCTAGATGATCTGTAAGGTCCCTTCCAAACCTTGCCATTCTATAATAGTTATTTTCTGCAGAAAGTAAGCATCATAGATGGCCTTTCCTATGAGATAAATGTAAAAGGCATTTTTCTTAAAGATTCTGCAAAATTTAAGAAAATAAAACCTTATTTCATGTATTTAATGACTAATATTCAACATACACACCTTATTTTAGGATTTTTTATACAGACCACATTATGTACTTAAAAAGCAAGTATTGATCATACATGCAGAAGTGAGAACTCATAGCGAAAAGATCGGGTTTTGTATTACAAAGGATACAGACATGACTCTTTACATCATTACGAAGTCCTTTACGAACAAATTCATATGCTTCTTCCTTCTTCCCAAGGCAGTTCAAGGTCAGTCCCTTCATTGCGAGCGTCTCTGTAAGAAATACCATACACTGTTTTTGACTTCCCATATGCCAACTTCACAGTGCAGACATCCTTTGAAGTTGTTACACAGTGAAGTTCCCTGTTATATGATAAATTTAGATCAGGATAGCAGCCTAGCACAGCTGAAGACTGTTATATGGAAGCATTTCCTTTCTTTAGATTGGCCTTTAAAAGATCACTGCAGAGCATCATACAGATGTGATGAACAAAGACAACGTGCACTTTATTAATAAAAATAACTTCCTTAAAGCCAGTTACACATAATCAATAAGCTAAAGGAAGTTTAGAGAGCTTCTCAGTGTGTGTTAAAGTTCCAGGCAGGCAGATCAAGAAAAAGAAATAATTAGGTTGTGGCATACCATAAGAAACAGACTTCTGTCACAGTCAGCTCCACTATTGCAGGTTGCTTACCTATTTTCTGCTACAGTATTTTGGGGGTAAAAGACCTTCTCAAAGTAGCAGCATTTTAATCAACATTCTGAGAGTAATAAGATTCCAAATAATACATTAGTATGACTACTGCTCCCCTGCTTCCCTCATTCTTCAAGTAACACAGTGCAGAACAAGTTGCATCTAATACACACGTTATGCCTGAGAGCTGTTCCAGATTCATATTTCGCGGGGTTTTTTGCTAAAAAAAGAGACCACTTAGTTTTGGTCCCTGCCAGAAGATTATTCACATTTTCATCATAGTACTCTGGTTTTCCTCCAGTTGCAACCTTTCCCCCAGTATTAATCGCAACAGCCCATCATCTCAAGGTCAGCCATAACAGCAG